TTGCACAAATGAATGGTGTAGTAGTGTGAGACAGGGGCGGTTTTGCTACTATTTTAAAAATTTCAATGCATATTAATGTTATGTGCTACTCATTTATCTATTCTGGAACTGTTGTGTGCCCCCTCTCCCTTTGAAAAATTATGGATCCGCCCCTGTGACAAGTGTCAACAGTACAGAAATAATGACATCATACCAATTTTCTTCTAAAGTGCAAAAACCCACTAATTTTTTTAAACATGTGGAAAGGATAACATTGACTAAGTTAGTAGCCTATAATTAAAGATATATCATTATTTTTATGAATGTGGGTATGTTTGTTTGTTTATTTATTTATTTACTCTAAGATAGAGATGTCAGGCTATAAAGGAAATTCCTATTCCCAATGATTCACTTACCATATACATTCAGAACAAATTGAACTTTATTATTTGTTAACCTAAAAATCCAAGAAATACAACTTGCTATACATTAGGCTATAGGCGTCTCCCCAGAACCGACTGGGGCTTTTCCCACCCTCCCAGGCAAAGCTTGAGCAAATCGTTAGCTCAAAAATAGAAATAAAGAAATTTTAAAGAAAGTCATATATAACTCGCACAGGTTTTTGTTCGCACAAGTGGATCTTATTCCGCGCGAAAAAAAATCCGCTCGAATTGGCCTTAGCTGGAAGTGGCATCTGGTCTCTCGAATTGTCTGGTTCCCTTGTGGGATATTTTGTTTGCCATTTTCTTTTGTTAGAATTTTATATTGCCACATTGCTGTCTAGGTTATAGGCCTATGTGAAATGGTTTGGATCCTAAGCTAGGACTATTTGGTAAGATTAAATATACCAAGTATGAACTTGAAGACTAGGCCTAGGCCTAGTAGATACTATAAAGGTCCTACTACTACAGTACAGTCTACAGTACCTACCAAAGATGCATTGATGCCCTGTCAGTTGGCAATGATGGTAGCCTACTTTACTGTATTATTGCTTTCCTATATAGTATTAATATTATGCTTACCTAGGCCTATGCTTAGATAGAACGCCCTGAAGGCCTAACCTAAGCCTTTAATTTGCCCTGGTTACAAAATCCTAACTTACACCCACTGTTCGTCCAATTGAAAAATGGGGTGGGGCAAGAGTGGCGCCAGCGGGGGATGGGGGAGCTGGTTCCCCCCCCCCCACTCCCTCTTGGAGAAAAAAGGCACAATTCGTCGGGGAAAAAAAAAATCATATATGTATTTTCTACATGTTAGTAGACTCTAAAGCCTTGAAAAGTGTCAAAATTTTCGGGGGGTGGGGGTTTACCCCTTTGACGACGTCTTTTGAAACATTTTAAGCAACACTCGACCACGCTCACGTCAGGGAAATCTTCCCCCTGTCAATACCTCGCACCCCGTCGGGCAAATCCTGGTGCCACCCCTGGGTTGAAGAGGTGTGAAGGTGGAGTCGGGGCTCTAATTGAGTGAGAAGGGTGATAGTCACAAGTTAAGGTGAATTTTAACTATACTAATACTAAACCTGCACTAATTGAGTGTGTCTTTGGATCTTTTCAATAGGGAGAAGCATTTTTGGGGAGTGGTGTGCCCTGCGCACACCGTAGATATGCCACTGCCCTGCATTACCCCATAGATACGCATTTATGCTAAATAGAGGTCAGCAAAATTTGAAATCATTCATACTCCTCAGGATGAAGATGGATGCAAAATGGTTGTTGGTTTTTGTTACAATCATCTGTATAAATTATCTCCAGACCTCACGAGCATTGATAAAGGATCAGCAATCAACAACATCACAACCAAACTTCATTATTCTCTTTATGGATGATATCGGATGGGGTGATCTGGGAGCAAACTGGAATCCCTCTGGCAACTCGGACACTCCTTTTATGGATGCCCTTGCAAAGAAAGGAATGAGGTAATATTTTTGATAATAATGTCACATTACATCAAACAAATGTATATTCCCTATTATACTGTACTAATTTACATAAAAATAATGGTACAGTAGGTAAGAGAATAACTTGCAGCGTCATCATTAGGCTGAATTGCGTATGTGAGTGGTCCATGACTACCTACTGTAGCGGCCGTAAAAAGGCGCTAATAGTAGCTACATGTTCACATCATTCCGCAACAACAGGGACTGAAATGAACCATAGTATCTTTGTAACCCCCTACTCTTCCAAAAGATGCAATGGGTTCTTTGAAGTGCACACAAGCCAGATGTGTACACTGCACCTCCATCTTGAGTCCTTATCCGAGAAGACTTGGTTCTACCAAAGGAACCCTGTGTGAGGGGAGGCTTTAGTTAGCAGTGCCCCTGCCTTACCACTCGGCCGCTCGACTCGCCAATAATCATTGTATTTTAATAAACCACACACAAGATCAAGTCATCATCAATTTCACCATGTCATCTGATGGACCTGCAGAGTACAGTGATTGTGTAGAAACATAAAATAAGAAATAAGAAGAAAAATATTAACTTTATTGAAAATATCGTAATTTTATGAAAGCAAATTGAAATACATTTTTTTAATATTTAGATTTAAAAATGTGCTTTAATACTGTTAAAATTTAGTTAAAAGTTGTGAACGAGATTTTTTAATTTTTCGATACTTTTTTTCACATTTCACAACATTCATTCTTTCATAACACATTTATTTCCCAACTATTTGAAATGGGTACATTAGATAATATGAATACAATCTTACATAGGCATACAGATGATCATAATGTAGAAGTACGAGATTAAAAATACTTGTCATGATAACACCCTTAAAAGAAAATGTATTTTTTATATACATGGAATATCAAAGTTATAAATAGATATGGTACTGTTTTTACTATTATTTAAAAAAAAAAATTAAGATTTCATATGTATATGTATAGGTACTACTAGTAACCCATCAAACAGTACTGGTTATTGTTAGGGGTCTTCAAATCTAAATTTACCTTTATATTTAAATATGGCCTTTATATTTAAATTTTATACATAAAAAAACAAAATTCAGTTTAAAAACAAAAAGTTGGATTTTTAATTTTTTGTAATCTGGAGTGAGATTTTTCATTTTTGTTAAGCTCTGTCCACACTGCCAAATTGTATGTGACAAATAAGTGTGATATGCCCATATTTGGGTGTAATGTGACAAAAACAAGCCAAACCAGTCACTCGTTGCAAAAATCAATTTTTAGTTATTAATACATAGTTAAAGAGTAAAATAAGAACTATAAAATGATAAAAAAATCATTCAAATCCGACATTTCTTTAAGAAGTTACAAGCATTAATAAACATACAGCTGTTTAAAAATATATGAGAAATCAGCCTTCAAAGTTTATGATTTCGGACATTTCTCATGTGGAAACTATCGTTAAATCCTTAAACATTTTTGTTTCAACTTTGAAAATGGGGAAAATAACAGCATAGATGTATAGATATATAAAGCTTAGTTTAGTGCAATAAAATAGATTTTTACAAATTTGACATTCCAGCATGTTTTGGCCATTTTCTCTGAAACACGATTTGCAACGAGTGACTGGTTTGGCTTGTCTTTGCCACATATTATCATGCCTATATATAGCTACATCACAAAAATTTGTCACATAAATTTGATAGTGAGAATAGAGCTTTAGTTGGTAAACAATGTCCTCCCATATACTTCCATTTCATAAATTTGTTATCTTCAACACGTCTCAGGTTCACTGATTTTCACTCAGGGGCATCAATATGTACGCCCTCGAGGGCCGCGCTGCTCACTGGCCGTCTGGGAAAGAGGACAGGAGTTATCAGGAACTTTGGAAAGAAATCAACGGGTGGCCTACCATTGAACGAGACTACTATGGCTGAGACGTTGCAAGCTGGGGGTTATCGGACTGGGATGATTGGCAAATGGCATCTTGGGATGACTAAACCATTCCAGCCTTACCGTCGAGGTTAGAAATAATGTCACATGGATTTTAGCCCTCATTTCATTTATTTGTCTCAAAAACATTAACATTTCCAAGAATAGGGACAGCAAGGGACAAGCACAAACAAATATGAGACAGGAACACCTGAAAAGTGAACTAAATCATTGTCGAGTGGTGACCTTTCACAAACAACAGATGCACACAATAAAAATTTTTGCCCTCTTTTACCTCCAGCCTATACCTTAATAAATTCGGACCTTGGGTAGGACATTTTCCACCAGGCTGAATCAATAGAGAATTTGATAGCAATTTTTCCTGGAGAGCACCAAATTCATTTTTAATTTTACATCCAGAGAGTGTTGAGAGGTAATGAAATCCGGTGACTCAGGTTCTCATAAAATTTTTTAAAAGTATAATATAATTTAAAACTGAAAAATAAACTGTTAAAAATAGGTTATAATTTCAAACTGTATGTATTTTATATGGAATAGATGAAATTTTAGAATAAATAAAAAAGCTAACATTTCTAACAATTTTTATTGATTTAAAAAAAAAATAGGATTTGAGTACTTCTATGGGTTGCCATGGAGTAATGACATGGGGTGCGTTGACAAACCAGGGCAGGACATACCTCACTGTGCACCATGCGCCCAAGATCCTCATGGCATCCTCAGTAATGAAATCTGGAGTGAAGGAATATTTAAAAATTATTCCTACAACAAACAAGGTAAAGATATCTAATTAAACTAATTCATTGTAAAACAAAACCATGTTTAAAGTGCTAGTGTTTGCTTGTTTTTATTTTGAATCTATTTCAGTAAACATCAATCAAAAAATAAAATGACATACCAAAAAAGATACATAAAAATATATGGGAAAAATGAAAATAGATTCAGGATGACCCAAATAATCCCTAAGCTCTGTCCACACTATGACATTTTATGTTACAATTTAATGTGATTTGCCCATATATGGGCATGATGATGTCATATTGCACCCATATATGGGCATGATGATGTCATATTGCACCCGTATGTGGGCATGATGATGTCATATTGCACCCATATATGGACATGATGATGTCATATTGCACCCATATATGGGCATGATGATGTCATATTGCACCCATATATGGGCATGATGATGTCATATTGCACCCATATGGGCATGATAATGTCATATTGCACCCATATGGGCATGATGATGTCATATTGCACCCATATGGGCATGATGATGTCATATTGCACCCATATGGGCATGATGATGTCATACTGCACCCATATATGGGTATGATGATGTCATATTGTACCCATATATAGTCATATCACAGTTTTGGTATATGTGGACAAAGTTTTGGTAATACAATATATTGATTCAAAATTTGGAGAAGCTTCACAAGAGGGTATCAATCCACAGACTTACGATAGTCTACGGGGCGTTTCGCATGTCAAAGTTTTAAATAAAAAGAGCAATATTCATAAATTGTAATAATTTTTTTTTTTTTTTTTTTTTTTGTCAGGAAGAGTTTTGCAACACTCAGAATTTTTTTAATAATGACTTGTGGTAAATTTGAGTGATAAGCCATATTTTAGGAGATGGGATGTAATGTTAAAACCAAATTAAAAGATTAGATGCCACTATCATTTTACCCTGAGCTAAATAAGTGATAGAACATTGTACATACCAAAAAAAAAAAAATGTCATATTGCACCCATATGAGCATGATGTCATATTGCACCCATATATGGACATGATGATGTCATATTGCACACATATATGGGCATGATGTGGTCATATTACACCTATATGGGCATATCACAGTTTTGGTAATGTTGACAAAGTTTTAGTAATACAATATTTTGATTCAAAATTTGGAGAAGCTCCACCAGAGAGTATCAACCCACAGACTTACGATAGTCTACGGGGCGTTTCGCATATCAAGGTTTTAAATAAAAAGAGCAATATTCATTAATCGTAATAATTTTTTATTTATTTTTTTGTCGTCAGGTAGTGAGCAACTTGGCTGCGATCCACAGCTAGCCCTTCCACTGTTTGAAAATGATACCATCTTACACCAACCAGTCAACCTGCAGACACTCTCAAATAATTATGCAGAGAAAGCGCAGGCATTTATCAAAAACAGGTAATACTGTAACATCCACTTTAATATAAGAACCCTTAGATTAAGAATCCCATATGAACCTGTTCAGGTTTACTTGTAAGAATATGGGTTCATATAAGTGGGTGTTTTACTCTATGATATCAAATGTACAATTATATATATTTATTTTTTTTTTATTACTACTGTACTTTTAACCATTACCACAACGGTATACAGCTGGTCTGACTAGTCAATTTTAAACAAGCAAAAATATAATTATTCAATTATTTTCAAGTTTTGTTTTTTATCCCAGGCATTCTTGAATACTCTATCTTACAAAAACTGTAATAATATAGAACTAGATTTTTTTTAATGAATGGAAATAAAACCAAAATAATTGTAATTTATCATCCAAGTTTGACATCATATAAATAGTATCATGTGTTATACCATCATGATCAGTGTTTAAAGTCATCCCTATGCCTATTAACTATGCCTTTTGAATATTGTTAAAATTGTTACAAATACAAAAATACCTGAATTCTAATTAGAGTGCAAAGTATTTTTATTTACAATCAACCTGTAGTTGTGTTAGATTTCAAATTCTGTCTACACTATCAGATTTTATGTGACGTGCCCATATATGGGAATATTGATGTCATATTTTACCCAAATATGGGCATATCAATTTTTCTGTCCACAGTATAAAATTTAATGCAACAAATTTGTGTGTTGTGCCCATTATATGAACATTATGATGTCCAAATAGGGGCATCATATTAAGAATGCCCAAATATGGACATTTCAATATTTTTTGCCACGTAGCATTAGACAAAGCATTAGTGTCAAACTTTCACCATCAAACATATTGGCTATGTTCTCACACGGCTGCTAACGGTTAGCAGGATCCGAATCCTGCTAACCGGTAGCTGCCGTGCGTCCATCCGAGAAAATCCCGATCCGGATACCAAGAATATGATGATCGAATCACTGGCCAATAAGAAACTGGAAATTGTAAACGCGTACGTGTGATTGATTGATGATAGAAACGCGCTCACTTGCTAACCGATAGCGCTTGTTAACCGTTAGCGCTAATCAATCGGGCATTCTCACGCAGGTGCTAACGGTTAGTGCTAACCGTTAGCTCCCGATCCAGATACTAGGGCTCTTGTGAGAACCAGGCTTCCGATAAGTATCTGTAAATATCTTTCTCATTAAAGTTATTATTATGACTTCTTTGTCTTTCTCTATTTAGTAAAAACAAAACTGATAGTCGTCCATTCTTGCTGTATATTGCATTTGCTCACATGCATGTACCGCTAATCTACATGGAAAACTTCACAAACTCTTCCAAATCACGTGGAGTGTACGGCGATACATTGCATGAATTAGACAACACGGTTCAGCGTATCTATAAAGCGGTACAAGATGCAGGTGTTGAAGAAAACACACTCATTTGGGCGACAGGTATAAAGTTTATATTGTTTTTTTAGTTCGATTTATTTATTTGTTTGTTTTTATTTATTCACTTATTTATTTAATTATTTGTTTATTGATAAAAAAAAAGAAAAGAAAAAGATCATATATACATAGGTGCAGCTATTGAATGCTTATGAATGTGACACTTTTTTCATACAACTGAAAAGGAACAATTCATTGAAGGCTCTGCTTGATACAATTGGACATCATATGTTCCTTTTTGAGCACTGTTTTTCTTGTTTATGTTGTGTTTACGGTGCCAAGCAGCAAACCTATTATTTATTATGTTTTCCTAGCTGCGACCTACAAGTTGGATTATATTTTGATCCGATAAATGATGCATGATATATTTGTTTATGTTGTGTTTACAGTGCTAGCTCCAACCCACAAGCTAGTTTATAGCTTAACTTTAGCTCCACTATGTGTAAGTGCAAAAGTCAGTTGTATAAGAAATTGCATGGGGGCTATCTGCGACCATGCCATTGGTCTTTGTGAGGTCAAGTGAGTTGCTGATCTAATGACAAAGTTTGGACGTAATTCCACATACAACATTAATTGAAATTTTTTAATAAATATTATATAATGAGCTTCTGCATAATATTGGTGAGTTGCCTTTGATGTTGAGACACCTGTCCAGTAATCTTGGTTTAAAATCCTTCCAATATCAGTATCTTTCCCACAGCTAATAAAAGCTCCTCTTCAAATGAGACTTAGTTGATAGAGCTCCAGAATATTTAAGTAATACAATGCCCATTGATATCAGCTGATCTTCTTTCCTTAGCTGGAAGGTCTAATGGTTTTTAAAAAATAAAAAAATAATAATGCTGTGTTTATTCATTTTTTTTTTTTTAAGGTGACAATGGACCTTGGGAGGTTAAATGTCAGTTAAGCGGTGACCCTGGCCCATTTATAGGAGGTTGGCAGAAACAGAATGGTAAGTAGAAAAAAATAATTAAATTGATATCTGTAAGTCAAGTTATGGAAAATAATATTGAGATATACAGTAGGTACAATATTAGATTAGACTTCATATATATGTTATAGGGTAGAGTAAGTTTTTGTTTAACTTCCTTTCTAAAATCTTGCTATTCCTACATACAATATAATATTATTCTGATGAGCATTCAGTAATTAAGGTAGGGCAAACATCATTTCGCAATATAATATTGTTATAAATAAGTAGCAGGTAGCAATTAAAAGCTATAAAATTCATAATTTTAAAGAAATTATATATAATGCAAATGCCCTAATATTCATTACCCTCTCTCTCCTCTGCGAAGGAGAGATGAAGGGTATTGCAATAGTTCGCGTCTGTGTGTTCTTCCGGGCGCATAACTCAAAAACTACTGGACCGATTTACTTCAAATTTTCACACATTGGCAATGTTACATGCCAAGTGGATTGTTCGACCTCGTTTGCGGATCGACCGCAGGCCAGAGTAGGGCATGTGTCAAATTCTGGATGGCGGTCTAGAAGGCGTACAAACTCGCTCGATTGATGGGCTTGCCACATGAGACCTATGATGCTAGGCCTTGTTTGGCAGGATTGACCTCATGCTATTATTTTTTCTGTAAATAGACATGGCGCAAGAGGGCGAGGATTTGTACTCTCAGATTATTTTGTTAACTATTTAATTGTTATCTTTATGTTTTTTCTTTTCTAACCAGGGGGTGGAAGTACATCAAAGCTAACAGTATGGGAGGGAGGTCATAGGGAGCCCAGCTTTGCCTATTGGCTGAATCACATCAAGCCAGGCAGTGTCTCTGACTCCATTCTCTCCGCCATGGATATATACCCTACTTTAGCATCTCTAGCTGGCATAGCGTTGCCTAGTGACAGAGAGTATGATGGAATCGATATCAGTGGGGTTCTGCTAAATGGTGAAGAAATCAAGCAACGTGTAAGTTGTTGAAGGTTTGTTTAAATAATGCCATAAAATAACTTGGAAAGAATAAATATTCTTAAGCTTTGTCCCCACTATGAAATTTTATGTGGCAAATATATGTGATACTGTATGCCCATATTTGGGTGTAATATGATATGCCCATATATAGGCACATGAAATTTATTTAATATGTTATATTTATATAGCGCTTAATGCCAACAAAACCTCTAAGCGCTTCACATTACTACCCCCGGTCATTGGATTAGACGCCTATGGAACACAAACTGTTCCATAAAGTTGGCATCTTGGCATTTAACCCTACCAGGTACCCATTTATACTCTTGGGTGGAGAGAAACAATGCAGATAAAGTGCCTTGCCCAAAGACACAAGCGAAATGCACAGCAAGGGGATTTAAACCCCGACCTCGAGGTTGGGAAACCAAACCGTTCCCATTGCGCCAAACCACTTCACATAAAAATTGATAGTGTGGCCAGAGCTTTATTGATGATAAAATAATGTTTAGTATTGAGCTGTGCTTACTGATCTCGGTGCATCATTCTAACATAATGCATGTTAGATCCATGTGGCAATTTTACTTGCTTGCTATCGGATATGAAGGTATTAAAGCCCTATTCCCGGCAAAATTTCACTAAAAAATAATTTTTTTTAATAGAAAAAGTATGTATGCATTACTCTATTTATTATAAACAATGGAAAAATATTGGCATAAATTTTCGTTTTTATGCAAAAGAATAAAAAAATGAGAAATACAAACTTTTTCTCATAGGAGATTATTATTTTCTCTACAAATTCTTCGTTACCAGACAAATTCAGAAGTTGGAGATCGCATCCGCTAGAATGCTCTCGCTTTTATGTATACTTTATACAGTCAATAAAGTGCGCCTTCTCTAATGAAATTGGTTTTTGTACTTCGCATCTCGTACACTGCAATCGATCGAGTATGCCTGAGATATGTTTCTTTTATTGTCAAAATATCAGTCAGAATAATATTTTCACAGATTTGAAATAATTCCTATGAAATATTATATTTCAGTGTCAATTCAGTGTCAATACTAGCAACGGAAAATTATCATGTCTGCCGTTTTTATGTGTCTGATAACAGAACCTAAATCGAGCAGTGGCGGCTCTAGGATATATTTTCTGGTGGGGCTAAGTTGTCCGACAAGGGGGACTTGAGGTCGTAGGCTTGAGCTGGGAGGAGGGTTCGAAAGGGGGTTCCCCCTCCCAAATGAGATTTTTTTTAAGAATATCAACCTCTAGATGGCCGAAAATGGCACTCTCAGACTGTGACAGACATGTTTTGGCTTGGTGTGGGCCTATTTTTATATGTTTTATGGTCTGACTGCCCGACGAGCTCTGTCTGGTGGGGGGGGGGCTTGACCTGTCCGGTGGGGGGCTTAAGCCCCCCTGCCACCCCGCTGGCGCCGCCACAGAAATCGAGGTAAGGCTAGGCCTAGCCTAGCAGTGTTGGATATAGGCTAATGTTTTTTCGGCGCCTACTATATTTTTTTGCATACCTATCGCAAAATCAAACATAACAAATCCATCCACATTTATTTTTTGTGTGGAACACAAAAAATCAAATTACAGTCTTATTTTACATTCAGTTAAATTAACAATTTCAAAAACATTAAAAATTCAAATCCAGTGAGTTTATCTCAGTGCTAAATGGAGCATACTCTGATAACTTTCCAGTTATTAGTAAACGTATGAGAGAAGCAGATCGACCATGGATAACATCTAGAATCCGGAATCTACTAGATGCTCGACAGAAAGCGTATGAAAAGCATGGCAAAACGCAGGAATGGTGGAAGCTCCGCAATATGGTGCGAGATGGTATCAAAGAAGCCAAGCAATCTTATTATCGCAAAAATAGATTCCTAATGAATCTAAAGTCTAACAATATGGCCAAATGGCATAAGGGAATTAAACAGCTCTGTAACATGAAAAAACAGACGACCTTTAGTATACCTGGGCATTCCGGCAAAGATATTGCAGAGAACATTAACACTTATTTCTGAAGTATCTGCAATAAGTTACCACCTTTAGATATTAAAACTCTGCCTGCCTATTTGCCAGCAAGTGAGGAACCTCCACATATATTTGTCGGGCAAATGAAAGCTTTGCTTGGCAAGTTAGCTCCAAAAAAGGCAGGTCATCATGAGGACCTACCTGTACGGTTACTGAGAGACTTTGCCCCTGAACTAGCGCCGCTAATAACAGATATTTTTAATTGTGCCCTTAAAGCAGGTATATTTCCTAGCTTCTGGAAAAAGGCAACTGCCATTCCAGTTCCTAAAGTCAAGAGTGTCAAATCATATAATGACCTTAGACCAATACAGTATCTCTCACACCTATACTTGCTAGAGTCTTTGAATCTTTTTTAGTTAAGTGGATTGTGGAGGATATTAATGTTAGTTTAGATTCTAGACAATTTGGAAGTAGGAAGAAATCATCGATATCCCATTACCTTATAAGCCTAATTCACACAGTCCTTAAAGATCTTGAGTGTGGTGGAACCTATGTAAATTTGTGTGCAATTGATTTTACTAAGGCCTTTGACCTTGTAGACCATTCCATTCTTATTAAGAAGTTGATCGACATCGGGGTGACGTCGTCTATAATTCCTACCATCTGCAGCTTCCTCACCGATCGTACCATGAATACCAAGCATGCTGGATGTATATCTATTTCTAGTAGGATTACTTGTGGCATCCCGCAAGGGACAAAGCTGCAATGAGAACAACATGACTCTGAAGCCTTCTAAGTGTCATATAATGACTGTAAATTTTTTTGAAAGATGTCAGTGTTAGAGTAGAGTCCCCCATTTTCAATTTAAAAAGCACAAACATTGATGTAGTAGAGCATATGAAATTGCTTGGTGTTATAATCCAATGTAATTTGAAGTGGGACCTTAACACCCAAGATATTGTCTCACGGGCATCAAGAAGACTGTTTGTTCTGTGTATACTAAAGAAAGCAAAAGTTGTTCTTGATGACCTACTCACTGTTTATGCTTCCTACATTAGGCCCATCTTGGAATACGCTTGCCAAATATGGCATGGTGCTATTACCAATAAAATGGCCAATAGCATTGAGACCATCCAGAAAAGAGCATGTCACATAAAGTTAGCTCCTGCCTACATTACTTATGACAATGCCTTTGTTACGGGTTTACCATCACTTGCGGCAAGGAGAGAAACCCTTGTTTTGTCTTTTGGCAGGGGTTTGCTTAAGTCTGACTGTTTTCGTGACATGTTGCCTCCTTGCCGCGAGCAGAAGAGAACCCTTAGGTCTAATACAACTAGAACTCTTGATATCCCCAGATGCAAAACTGAAAGATATAGAAGGTCTGCCATACCTACTATTGTTAATTTGATCAATGCAATAATTAAGTTCAGGTTGATTTTAATCCTGTATCATGATAATGTATTTAAAATTTTGAATTAATTGACTTTTTTTTCTTTTTAAATTTAATTATAGTAATTTGGTGTGTATGTTTATATATATATTTTGTAATATGAAATTAATTTTTAACTTTTCTAATGTAATTATTTTAATGTTTTAATATTTCTATATGTATTTTTAATTTTGAATTAATTGACGTTTTTGAAATTTAATTATAATAATATGGTGTATATATATATATATACATATATATATATATATATATATTTGTAATATGATATTAATTTTTAACTTTTCTACTGGAATTATTTGAATGTTTTGATATTTCGATATGTATTTTTCCACCTGACTTGTTTTCCTATGTTGTCTTTATTTGTTGATTGTAAACACACG